ATCTTCATAAATGATCTGGAGGATGGTGTAGATTGCACTCTCAGCAAATTTGCGGATGATACTAAACTGGGAGGAGTGGTAGATACGCTGGAGGGGAGGGATAGGATACAGAAGGACCTAGAGAAATTGGAGGATTGGGCCAAAAGAAATCTGATGAGGTTCAATAAGGATAAGTGCAGGGTCCTGCACTTAGGACGGAAGAACCCAATGCACAGCTACAGACTAGGGGCCGAATGGCTAGGCAGCAGTTCTGCGGAAAAGGACCTAGGGGTGACAGTGGATGAGAAGCTGGATATGAGTCAGCAGTGTGCCCTTGTTGCCAAGAAGGCCAATGGCATTTTGGGATGTATAAGTAGGGGCATAGCGAGCAGATCGAGAGACGTGATCGTTCCCCTTTATTCGACATTGGTGAGGCCTCATCTGGAGTACTGTGTCCAGTTTTGGGCCCCACACTACAAGAAGGATGTGGATAAATTGGAGAGAGTCCAGCGAAGGGCAACAAAAATGATTAGGGGTCTAGAACACATGACTTATGAGGAGAGGCTGAGGGAGCCGGGATTGTTTAGTCTGCAGAAGGGAAGAATGAGGGGGGATTTGATAGCTGCTTTCAACTACCTGAAAGGGGGTTCCAAAGAGGATGGCTCTAGACTGTTCTCAATGGTAGCAGATGACAGAACGAGGAGTAATGGTCTCAAGTTGCAGTGGGGGAGGTTTAGATTGGATATTAGGAAAAACTTTTTCACTATGAGGGTGGTGAAACACTGGAATGCGTTACCTAGGGAGTTGGTAGAATCTCCTTCCTTAGAGGTTTTTAAGGTCAGGCTTGACAAAGCCCTGGCTGGGATGATTTAGTTGGGGAATGGTCCTGCTTCGAGCAGGGGGTTGGACTAGATGACCTTCTGGGGTCCCTTCCAACCCTGATATTCTATGATTCTATGATTCAAATTACCATGCAACCGTTCGGATCCCATTCCTGCCCCAGCTGGAGGCGGAGGGCGGGGAGTGCGGTTCTCTGTAGTGGGGGCTGGGGCACACCAGACTTATAGGAGCTGCCTCTGAGGCCCTGGGCTTGGGCCGGGCAGGGGGCGTCTCAGGTCTGGTGGGCCGGGCAGAGCGTAGGTCCTGACACCAATTCACCCTGTCTAGCGATAGCGCGGGATGTGAGTCACAGCTGGGGTTGCCCACGGCTGGGGGGAGCCTTGGTGGACGAAGATGGGCTGGTGGGACTTCGTTCTGAGGTCTCCCGTGGAGGAGCGGGCTGCATGGGGCCCTCGCGGACACCCCTGCAGCCCTAGAGAGCCCACGGGGGCACAGCACGGACCTGGAGCGAATGGGCCAGGGGCGACTCGGGGCGTGCGGAGAGATGTCTGCCTGGGGCGACTGGCATGGCTGCCCTGGGGTAGCAGTGCGTGTGCATGGGGGGCTCCGTGCCGGGCATTGATCTACAGCAGCAATCTTGGTTTCCCTTCTCTGCATCTTCCCAGAGGCAGCGGGGCTGGCTGGGGGCTGCTAAGTGTCTGTAATTGCTGAGGCCAGTGTCAGCCGGCTACTGCTGCTTCCTTCCTGAACTGGGAATAGCAGCTGTGAGTCACCTCCCGCCCAGCCCCCTTGGGACAGGAGACTGGCTCCCCGCTCGCCATTGTCTGGGTCATTCTGCCCCAGGCTGGGAGCGGGGCCGGCCTGGTAGTTCCACACAGCTCAGCCGGACTCCCAGCATCACTCCTGGGGCTCCACTCTTCGCAGTGACCCGGGGTGAGACCCAGCTAGGCCTGGGATGGGGGGCCAAGGGAGCAGCAGAAAGTGCCCATGGCAGTTCAGCGGTGGGTGCCCTCCCTTCTGCGTCGGCGCTGACCCCAGGCACCTAGTGTGGCACAAGGGGGTCTTGTCTTGCAGGGAATGGGGCAGGTGGTTTAGCAGGAGGCATGCTCCCTTTGGAATCAGTGCTGGCCCCAGTGCGGTGCAAGGGGGCGCTGCGTTGCAGGGAATGGGGCGGGTGGCTCCGTAGGGGGCACTGTTTTGCAGGGAATGGGGCGGGTGGCTCCATAGCGGGCGCCCCCTTGGAGTTGGTGCATTATTCATGGAATATCTTCGAGAAGGGTTGCAAAGCTGGTGGAGCGTGAATCCCATCCTCTCCCCTGTTCTTGCAGGATCGATTCCCCCTGGGATCTGGCGAGGCTGCTGTGAGCTGAGCCTGTGGATGAAGTGGCCTGGGCTTGAGCTAAAACCCTCCCTTCCCACTGGTGACTCAGAGCAGTAATGACAGGTTTCAGGGTAGCAGCCGTGTTAGTCTGTATCCGCAAAAAGAAGAGGAGGACTTGTGGCACCTTAGAGACTAACAAATTTATTTGAGCATAAGCTTTCGTGAGCTACAGCTCACTTCATCGGATGCATTCAGTGGTTTTACTTTGTATAAAGACTGGGAGTGGATGGGTCATTACACAAAGTAAAACTATTTCCCCATGTTTATTCCCCCCACCCACTGTTCCTCAGACGTTCTTGTCAACCGCTTGAAATGGTCCACCTTGATTATCACCACAAAAGGTGTCTCCCCCTGCTGGTAATAGCTCACCTTACCTGATCACTCTGGTTACAGTGTGTATGGTAACACCCATTGTTTCATGTTCTCTGTGTATATAAATCTCCCCACTGTATTTTCCACTTTATGCATCCGATGAAGTGAGCTGTAGCTCACGAAAGCTTATGCTCAAATAAATGTGTTAGTCTCTAAGGTGCCACAAGTCCTCCTGTTCTTTTTTCCGAGCAATAAGTCTCTCTGGGTCGCCGGGCCTGCGAGCTTGCAGCTCCCCCTCGTGGTTTAGCTGTGCAGCCTGCGTGTGGGTTCTCAGGAGCACCGCCAGACCCTTGGGCCATGAAGCCAGCGGGCAGTTTTCCTCCTACCTTGAGGCCTGTGACTCCCCATCCTAACCCAGGGAGCCAGGGCCATCTGCAGGCCTGGAGGGGAGCAGCTCCAGCAACGGGAGGGAAGGATTCGGCTTGTGCATCCATAGGACCTTTTTCAGCAGGGCCCGATCTTGCACATGCAAGTGGGAGCCATCAGCGGAGTAGAGGGGGATGGGCAGTGGCAGGCAGTGGACAACTCGGTGAAAATCACCTTCTTCTCGGATATTATTTGCATTGGGATAGCACCTAAAACCCCCACAGGGGCATCAGGCCTGACACTGCACGGACCCGACCCTGACACTTGCCCACACAGCCTGAACAGGCAAAGGGGGGAGAAAAGAAGAATCAATATCCCCATGGGGCAGCTGGGGCTTGGAGTTGCAGGGACTTACCCGAGGAGTCTGTGTCCAAGCTGGGAACTGAATTCAAATCTCCCGAGCCCCAGCCCAGCACCTGCTCCACAAGCTGGTCAGTGCTGCCTGCGAAACTCTGCCAGCAAAGAGCAATCTTCAAAGAAGATTCAATTACAAACAGGGAAAAGCAGGTTGAAACCCAGCCATGAAAGTGAATCTCATGGTGTGTTTGCCTCTCTGGGCGGAATCTCCAGGGCTGTGAAGTCTAAACAGGGCTCCCGCATACTGTGAATGCTGAGAGGAGAGGATCGGCAGGGTTTAAAAACCTCTGTAGGGCAAGGCAGGGCAGCGTGGAGCGTGTGTGTGCACCTGCATAATGGTGTGTGCCTGGGATGTGTATATGCATGAGTGTGCATGGATGTGGGTGTCTATGAATGTGTTTATGTGCACGCAAGGACACTGGATTTACCATCTTGGCCTAATGTCTGATGCCTCACAAACAGGTGCAAGTGCCCTCTGCATGTCTAGTCAGCGCTGTACACGCAGGAGAAGAATTCCCTCCTGACGCTTGCTGTGATCAGCTGATGGCCTGAAGCATGAGGGTCGAGCAGCCCCATCTTAGCCTGTTCATGGAAGTGTTATTAGTGCTCACGCGTGGTGGGTCTGAGCACATGCATGGGACAACGTTTGTATGTGTGCATCCATATTGCATAGGTGTGTGGACCAGCTGGGACACTTTCACCCGGATTGGACTCTGCCTGTCCGTTGCTTTGTGAGTCTCAGAATTCAGTGCTGTTGGCGTAGTTCTCTGATGGTTTTTGCAGGCTGCACGCCAGAAGCTCTTATGCAAACACTAACCACTTGCCCTCTGCACAGGAAGCTGCTATAGCAGGGGCAGAAAAATCGGTGACTTTTCCGGGAAACCTTTTGTGTTTGGTTTCAAGTGTGGGGAGAATCCGATAAATGACTCTGTAACAACAACATCTGCCTACCCCTCATCTCTGCTCTCCATGGCCTGTCCTGCTGCATTGTCACCCTGCCAGTCCCCTGGGAGCCAACGCAGCTACGGGTGGGCGAAATGGTGCCTATCCTGCCCAGTGCCACTAACACAAGTGGTAGCTGAACTCCCCATGGCAGAGTTTTTAACCCTGCTGGTGCCTTGGAAGGCAGGGAGCATGAGGCTGGATTAGCAGCACCCAGTGGCATTAGAAATATCCTTGCAGGTCATAAACTGAGCTGGTTGGATCAGGAATCCCTGGGACTTTATTTGTGCAGAGTCGCTCTCCTGACTCGAAGAGCCCTTTGCTTTAACAGAGGAAAATTCACAGTGGCTTTAGCACTGAGAGAGCAAACATTAAAATCCAGCCATCCACCTGGCCAACTGTTTAACTTTGTGGCCTCAGGGCTGGGACAGGCAGGAGAGAAAGACCTTGGGGGGGGGGGGGGAAGCTGGAATTTGCTTCACACATGGCGACGTTCTGGGTAACCAATCTGCCTTTGTTACAAAACTGGCTTCCAATGGGCAAACAACGTCCTTCCCAAACTAGTTGCCACGCAAGACCAGTGCACTAAATGCATATGTATATGAACTGTATGAGTAAAATGTGTGCAGATACCCGAGACAGAACAGCGCAATTCTTTGCTTCTTGGTTTTTAGCTACTAAACGGCATTTCTACAGATCTAGCTAAGTAACCAGTGTTCCAAGGGCTATTCATTACTCTGCCCCTGCAGAGAAATCTGGCCCATGCAGTAAAAATAGAAGTATTTAATATTGATAGAAATGACTTTTATAAAGTACTGAAAGAGAGGAATTTAGTTACCCGTGGCTATGCCTCAAGTCGGGGTTGGACTAATGTTCTATTGAGCGGCAGGAAATAGCAGCTTTCAGAGGAGACAGAGAGTACGTCTACATTTGAGCAGGGAGGTGTGATTCCAGCGGGCGTAGCGGTTCCCAGGTGCTAGCCCCTACAACTAGCAGGGTGCCCATGTGGGTGGGGGCTCAGACTACCATCCGAGTACATGCCTGGGGTTGAGGTGGGCTTGTACTCAGAGCAGCTAGCCCAAGCTGCGGCGGACACTCTGCTGGTTTTGCTCGAGCACAGCTAGCATGGGAACGTCCACAGGAGCTGGGGATCCCACCTCCCAGCTCAAAATCAGGCGTAGTCCTAGAACAACATTTCTAATCCTCACCCAGGCACCCTGGCCTATTCCCGTCTTGAAGCATCGAATTCAGCTTCCCTAATGTTCTCTGTCGTTTGTGCTGGGGAATTTATTCCTGTCCCAAACCCTGCTGTGGTGATGCTGCCTGGCTGGGTGCGGTTAAACAATTGCTAAGTTCTTCCCCAGAGGCGGGTAGATTTCAGTAGTGGGTGAAAGATCCCTGTGGAGACAGGGCCAAATCTTAACTCGCGTTAACAATTGCTAAGTTCTTCCCCAGAGGCGGGTAGATTTCAGTAGTGGGTGAAAGATCCCTGTGGAGACAGGGCCAAATCTTAACTCGTGTTAACAATTGCTAAGTTCTTCCCCAGAGGCGGGTAGATTTCAGTGGTGGGTGAAAGATCCCTGTGGAGACAGGGCCAAATCTTAACTCGCGTTAACAATTGCTAAGTTCTTCCCCAGAGGCGGGTAGATTTCAGTGGTGGGTGAAAGATCCCTGTGGAGACAGGGCCAAATCTTAACTCGCGTTAACAATTGCTAAGTTCTTCCCCAGAGGCAGGTAGATTTCAGTGGTGGGTGAAAGATCCCTGTGGAGACAGGGCCAAATCTTAACTCGCGTTAACACCTGTTAACCAAAGGATTGCATGGAGGTGTGGGGCAGAATTAGCATCTTCTCTGAAATGCCAGCCTGTTTGCCAGAAGCTGGGACTGGGCCACAGGGGGTGGGTCACTTGATGATTCCCTGTTCTGTTCATCCCCTCTGGGGCACCTGGCACTGGCCACTATCGGAAGACAGGACACTGGGCTAGATGGACCTTTGGTCTCACCCAGCCTGGCCGTTCTTATGTTCTTGGAGGCCAAAGGGCCTGCAGGGATACCTGGTCCTTGGCGTGGTGCTGGTGTCACTAATGAGACCTGTCAGGCAGCTACTTTTTGAATATTAATGAGCAGATCTGCATACAAACACAGACTGTTAAATGCTGGTTAGACTCCCCCATGGGTGAGTCCAGGCCCAGAGGGGAAATTAGCACCAGGTGGTCTGATTTCCTCATGGTGAGTAGATTATACACCAGGCAGCTTAGATGCAGGCACACGCTGTGCAGAGCTCAGTAGACCCCAAGCAGAAGCATGGCGCAAAGGAGGGAAGGGAGGAGCAGGGAGAGGGAGACAGAATGGAGCCAGGACACAGAGAGAGAGAGAAGTCCACGCCGCAGACTCTGAACCGTACAATGACAGATTTCCCAGCATCCCTTGGGATGCCTCGGCCTAGTAGGATCCAGCGGACTCAGTGTCTTTTCAATTTGTTTATGGCTGTTACTGTTGCAGGAGGAGGCTGCTGGCTTCTGGGGCGGGATGGAGCTGTTTTCGGGTCATTGCAGCTGTCTCTGGTGTGGAGCTGCAGCGTGTCCCACTCTGTAGAAGGGGGGGGATCGTAAATGGTCGCTCACGAGCCCTGTCATCTCCTTTAAGCCTGGCTTCCTCTAGATGCCTCAGACATAAGATTTCAAGCCTTCCTGCACAAGAGTGAACATATATGGAATCGTAAGTCATTCACATCTATCCACACACGCTATATACATGTCTGCACTCCAGGCTGTTTCTATCATTCACGCAGAGCGTTAATGGTAATACACAGCAGTAAGTACTCAAAGTGAAATCAGCAGCAAAAGCCCATTGCGCAAGGCAGTGCCTGTTTGTACAGTCAAAGCACCATGCGAAGGGTCTCTGCACATAAAGGCCCATGTCCTTGGCTCGTGTACGTTGGCGTAGCGAGGTCAACGGAGCTGTGCCACTGGGAGCCAGCTGAAGAAGATATGACTCTAGCTGTTCATCTACACGGACACCCTCCCCATCTGCCCTTCAAGCCATCGCTACTGGGCCAATTTCTCCTTGGTGTCATGGCAATGGGTCTTGATTTGCAGGAAGAAGTTAGTGGCTTTATGCGCACAAGGGAGAGGCCATTAGGATAAAGTGTGGGCAGCAGTGAAAAGGCAGGGTGTCCTTAGAGCTGTGTGTGTCCAAAACCCATGTGTGTGTGTGCACGCACACCTGTTTGGGTGTGTGTGCAGGCATGGATGTGTACATGAGTAGGCACATATGTGTGTGTCCATGTTTGGGCCTATGTGCATGTATGTGTCCATGAGTATACATGCATTCACGTGTTTGTGTTTGTGTGAGCATGTGAGTTTGCCTGTGTGAGTATGTTTGCACGTGTGTGTGTGCGCATATGCGTGTGTGTGTGTGTGCAGGTGTGTGCAGGCTATGTGTACCAAGCCCAGCTCTGCTGTCCAGCCGTGCGAGGAAAGCTGTTTTCAGCACACAAGAGTGGAACTGGGCATGGGGCTGAGTGCCAGCAATCCCCCTGGTGATCAAGGGGTGACTCCTCCTTGCCGACCCCCTCCGCCCAGCCCTCCCCCCCACACGCATGCTGTTTTTTCAGTCTGTCATTTCCATGGGACTTACGAGCAAGAAAATAAAGCAAGAAGTGCTTGCCATCACCCACACAAAATACCAGAATGGGGGGCACCTGCGCCTGGTGGCTCGGGAGCTCAGCCGCCGCTGGAGGGAGTCGATTTCGGCCCTGTAGTCCCGCCTGCGATGGGAAAGCCCAGGTAGGTCAGGACGTTCCAGCCAAACCCACTGGCTATACCATGCCCCTTCCCAAAGAGCCAGCAGCCCCAGCGTGTCCCGCCCCCGTCCCCCCACAAGCGATGGGGGGACTCCAGCCTCCAGGCCCCTGCAGCAGGAATGGGGAGGCCAGGCAGCAGGAGGAACCTCAGCGTTGCCAAGGGGTCGCTTGGCTAGGAGTGGGGGGGGAACAATTCCCGAGACTGTGATTGGCTGAGAGCCAGGGGTTAATGGCCCCAGTGGAGGTGGCGGGCTGGGAGCAAGAGGGACGGGGCTGGGTTGGAGTCAGGTGGTGATGGCTGGGGATTTGATTGGCTGGCGGGCTGGGCATAACGCCCCAGGAGGCTATGATGGAATCAGGGTCAATAGACAGGGACGATATGATTGGCTAGGAGGTAGGGTTAATGCTTGGCCAGGATATGATTGGCTGTTAGCCAGGTGGTTAATGCTCTCTGATGATACAATTGGCTGGGAGGTAGGGGTTAATGCTTGGCCAGGATATGATTGGCTGTGAGCCAGATGTTAATGCTCCCTGATGATAGGATTGCCTTGGAGCTAATACCTCCCCAGGATATGATTGGCTGGGAGCTGGAAGTGGGGGGCCAGGCCGTTGTCCAGTTCCTTACATGCTGCGCTGGGCCTCGCACCGCCCTCGCCGTGCCTCCGACGCCTGGTGCTGCTGCAGGGCCTCCGCCAGCCGCTGCACCTGCTCCGTGGCTTTCCCCTGCCACTGGGTCAGCTGCGCTGCAGGAGGAAGGCAGAGAGCGGGGCTCACACCCCAGGAGCCGTCTTCCCCCTTTGTGTGCCGCCTCCCCTCAGAGCCTGACCTGCAAGCCCTGGGCCCGGGAGTGGCCATGCTCACAGCCGCAGGACCCCCCCGGGGGATGGGGCTAGCGGGCAATGTTTCCTCTAATTTTTGACAGGCCATGTGCACAAAAAATTTCTTTTGTGCAAATTTTTGTGTGTGCAGTGTTTTGCCGTGTGCGCGGGGTTTAGGATCTGTGTGCACGCGCACAGCTTAAAGGGAACAGTGCTTGCGGGATCGGGCGCTCACCCGGCATGCTCCAACGGAGGTGGGGTTCGACTGTATGGAAAGGGCCCAGCCCAACTGTGGCTGCTCAGTGAAGGGCAAATAGAGTGGATAGTGGACTGAGGCCAGTTCCCATGAGGCTGGGGTAGAGCTGCCATGTGGGGCCCTGCCAGGATTTCCCAGTGCAGCCGGACCCATGCAGGGCGCTGCCTGGCAATGGCACAAGAGCATCCCACGGTGGGATGGGCCCGACGCCATGGGGCAGACGCTCACCCTGCTCAGCAGTGGAGCCTGGCGGCGGGGGGGGGGATTCTCCTGCCCCCTACCACACGTCCCTCACACCGGATGCCCCTGCCTCCCCCCACCTTGCAAGGCGATGTTTCTGGTGTCCATCTCGGTGCCCTCCAGCTGAATGGCCGCGAGCGCATTCTGCAGGGCTGTCACGTTGGCGGAGAGTGTGCTCTGTGGGGCAATACGGTTAGAAGGGAAAGAAGCAGGCACAGGGCTTAGAAACGGCTGGCTGGGCAGGGAGAGGGGTGGCCATTGCGCTCCCGAAACAGGGGTCCACACCAGGTTCCCCAGCTCGAGGCTGCTTGGAAATCGAGCCCTCGGGGGGCAGCATGCACACTGAACGTGGCGCGACCCAGCTCCCATCCGGTGGCGAATCTTTAACCAAGCTGTTCTCGGGGCCAGGTCCGCTGTGGTGCAGGGGAGACGTGTGACCCCATGGGGTCAGCAGAGCCGTGCTCCCCGGTGGCAGGGCAGGTTGTCCCACTGGTCTGTGATGATTTAAGGCAGAAGGGTTTTTTATAGGGGGTGTAACAAGAGTGGAACTGGGCATGGGGTGGCTTGCCCATGGGCTGGAGAGCCTGGGGCTACACCAGTTGGATCAGGGGCTCCCAGGCTAAAAAGAGCAGGAAATTGCAATAAAGGAGGGAAGTTGCAGGAGATTGCAGGGAGGGAGCAAGCTCTCCAGGCAGGGGGAGGGACTGCACAGGCCCAGCTGGAAAAGCCTGTGGAGAAGGACAAAGCCCAGGCGTGAGATACAGGGAAACAGACAGAGGCTCTTAAGCGGGAGAGCTGGGCCCTCCTGACACTGGGGTAAAACCTGTGAGAGTTTGTGTTTCCTTTACAAAGCCTGGGTAATTTTGGGCCGGGGGAGAGGGGGACTGAACTCGGGGTGTGGCCTGGAGGGCCAATGTGCCCCCAGTGGACCCACCTATTGTTTGAACAACTGCATTCAGACGAGTTCTGAAGGGGATGCAGGGTGCGGTCAGCGCACATGGGGGGTGGCCTCACCCTTCCAGGGGGTTAGAAGAAATGGAATCCACCCCAAGTATGCACCGACCCCAGGCCCTTGGGTGCGTCCCCTGCGCCTCCAGCAGCTGGACAGGAAGTGGGGCTGGGAGAACAACTGGAAGCAGGAGTGATTCTTTTCCAGACCCTTCATTGCCTAGAGCAGCCCATTGTTTAGCAGGAAGCGTCCAAAGCCAGCCCTTTGGACCAGTCCAGTCTGAGAGCAAGGAGATGGGGGTGGGGCTGGTTGCCCCTTGGGACCGGCCCTTTCCCAGCTGGGAGCTGGAGCTAATAATAACTTGCCGGAAAGAACAGGCTGCGAGAGACCAGGATCTAACCCCCACTGCTGCCTTGAGACACCTAATTATACGTGTCCCAAATGGCTCTGGTCTGTGTCTCAGCTAGGAATAGCTGCAGGGCTCCTGCTCCAACCTCTGCCTAGCACCATCCTAGGGGCTCTCAGCTGCAGCCGAGGGCAGGGCCTGTCCTGAGCAGGGCCCCGGGAGCAGCTGCTGGTCACGCCCCAGGGCTCAGTCCTGTTCGCTCAGGAAACAGCCATGCTGGGTGAAAGACCCTCAGCAGCTCCTGGGCCCAGTTATCCCACAGCAGGGATGGAGGGAAGTCATGTGGGTTACTGGGATCTCAGCAACGGGGCTCCCTGGGACTGGGGCAGGAGCCCTGGCATCCCTCGTTTGAGGGGATGGTCAGACAGGGACAGATGCCTCCGTCCCCGATGTGGTGTGGCTGTTGCCCCCGTGAGCGTCTGTCATACCCCAACCGGAGCCCCAGCTGCACTGGTGGCCCCTTGGGGCCACTTCCTCTCCTAACAGCGGGAGTGCCCCAGCACCCCGTATCCCTCCTGCTCCCATGCATTCCAGGCTGCGAGATCCGGGATTCCTGGGGACGGCACTGGGTCTGCATCAGTGTCAACACTTTTCGCTGGCCTTTTTAATGCCCTGGGGTCTTTTGCAGAGCCCAGATACCAGGAGCTCTGGTCTCCTTGCTTGCCGGATGCCATCCCTCCTGGGGAGACCAGGGCCTCTAAGGGTGCCAGCGAACCCCTCAAACCGCCCCCCAGCTCAGCCCGAGGCCCTGCCCCCCAGCTCAGCCTGAGGCCCTGCCCCCCAGCTCAGCCCGAGGCCCTGCCCCCCAGCTCAGCCCGAGGCCCTGCCCCCCAGCTCAGCCCGAGGCCCTGCCCCCCAGCTCAGCCCGAGGCCCTGCCCAGTTTGCAAGCTGAACATTGAGAAGCATCTGAGACCCACCAGCTGAGAAAGCCATTAGCATGGGAGGACACTGCGCCAGCTGGCTGGGTTACAAGTGAGATAATACCCAGACCCACCCCCAGGCCAGGGCATCTCCTACAGCCTCACGGCCACAGCTGGGCACTCAGCCTGTCAGATGCCCCTTGGAGAATCTATAGGGGGCCAGTTAGGGAGCCCAGCATTACGCTAAATCCTGGGCTCCCTGGACTCCCCCCAGCTCATACCTCATGCTCCAGGCAGGACAGCAAGGTGGCATTGAGTTTCCTGCCCTCATCCTTGGCCTGGCCCAGCTGCCTCCGAAGCTGCTTCTCCTTCTGGGCATCCTCCTGCAGCCGCCCCGTGAGCTCGGCCACATCCCGCTCCAGCTTGGCCACACGGCCCCCCAAAGCCGAGGTCTCATTGGCTGCCCTCTCCCGGCAACCCTGCAGCTTCTGTGCTGCCTCCGAGTGCCACATCATCACCGCCACGGAGACCGTCACCGCGGCGACCAGGAAGAGCAGGACCACGCACAGCCCCAGCACCTTCAGGGTGGCTTTGGCCACCGCGGGGTCCATGGTCCCCGTGCTGCGACCTGCCGCCTGCAGCTGCTGCCGCCGTGTGCTGGGAACCAGAAGCCAGGTCACTGCCTGTGTCACTTTAATTACTACGTGTGGGCTTCCTTGACCAAAAAAGCTCCTGCCTCTGGTTTCCGCAGGTCACGGACCAGGGACCATTATAGAATTGTCTGTCACAGTCTGGAGAGGGCCCCGGACGGCTCTGGGCTCCCCAAAGGGGGGGGGGCTTGCAGAGGAAGGGGTTAAAATCCCCTGAATTAAGCAGGAGGGGAACCTTGAGCCTGGAAAAGCTGCCTCAGCTTCTTAAGCCTGGAGGGAACCCCTCAACTGGGACTTGTTCGGGGGGGTCTAAAGGGGAGGGGGCTGGCTGCCCGTAGGCTGTGGGGAGCCAAGGGCTGAGTCTCCATGGCCCCTCCCTTACAGAGAGCTGGGAGAGCTCAGGGCTGGAATAGCAGGGGGCTGTGAATTGGGATTGGGGGGCACCGGCAAAGCCAGGGGGTGCCCAGGGCTGGGCTAGTGGAGGGGACCGTGGGTCAGGATCGAAGGGCAGCTGCAGAGCTGGCTGGTAGACACGTGTACAGCCTCTAGCCAGCGTCAGATTCTTTGGTTCCAATCGTCGGGAGGAATTAAAAGCCGAGACCCCGGCTGAGCCAGTGGCCCAGGCGGGTCAATCTGTGGGGCTAAGCAGGGCAGGAAGCGGCGCTCGCTCTCTTGTGGGGTGACTGGCCTGTTCGGTGGCTTGTGGCTGAGAACGCCCCCGTCTGCGGAGCACCACCTGTTTTCATTCAGGAGTTTCTACAGCAATCACGAGTGCTCCGAGACGGGGAGGGGAGGGAAAGAGGCCACAGCCTCGGTTCCTGAGTTCAGACTTTGCATCTGCGCTTCCCAGACCAAAATTCAGCCACCTCTGGGGTGGAGAGCAGCAACCACTGGAGGCACTAGCTTTCCTGGCAGGCAGGCATCGCTGTATTGATAGAGGGGGACACTGAGGCACAGAGCAGGGAAGTGGTTCACCCAAGGTCACACAGCGGCAGAGCTGGGAATAGAACCCAGGAGTCCTGTTTCCCAGTCCCCGTGCTCTAACAGCTCCCGCCTAGAGCCAAGAATAGAAACCCCGAGTGCAGCTTCCCAAGCCCGTACACTAACCACTGGACAATCCTTCCTCTCCATTAAGGTTCCCTCCCTTCTGGATGTTGCAGGATGTGCAGGGGAGACTCGGCTCTGGTGTCTCCACCTGGCACTCCACCCGGTGCCAAATTCCTGGGTCATGCGACCACCCAACAGCCAGACCACTGGAACCAGCAAGGGGTCAGACTGCTTCCCCTGTCCTCGGGCTGCCTTTCTTGTCCCTTTCCTGCTGGCCCCAGCTGCAGAGAGCTCTGCAGGGGGGGAGCTTTTGTTCCGTGGCAGGGGGAAGAGTTTGGGTGCGGCTGGGGGGATGAATTGCAGCTGCTCGGCCCAACCCCTCCTGTCCACGAGTGCCGCTTGATTAAGGGAACCATGGATTTCAGTTGCAGACAAAACCTAGGGCTGGCCTCTGCCCTGGAAGGAGGCAGAATCAAGAGAGGCTTTTCCTCCGTGTGCAAGTCGGCTGGCGCCTCAGGAAGAGATAATTACAGTGGGGGGAGGCCAGCTGGTTGGTGAAACATCCTCACCACTGCAGACACTAGCTCAGCGCCCTGGTCCAGCCATTCCTGTATCCTGCCTCTGGCACTGGCCAGGCCTGGGTGCTGACAGGGGGAAGGATCCTTGGGGCGGTGCATCTTTCCTCCCTCCCAGCCCTTCCGAGTGAGGTGCACTGCAGCCCGTGGCAGATAACGGTTTGTCTCACCTGCCTGCCAAGCAGGCAGAGAGCAGCGTCGCTCAGGGATCTGTGGGCCATCCTAGGGCGCAGAACAAGACTCAGACGGAGGCTGTGGCTGGAGGGGGCTGGTATTTCCCGTTCCACACAAGGAGCTTCCATCCCTACCACCCTGTAGCTCCGACACTCTGCTTCCTGTGCTCCCAGCAGGCCCCAGTATGGCAAATCCAGACCCCTCAAAACTGACCCCTGCGCAGAATGGGAGTGGGACACATGGTGGTGAACAGCAAAGCCCATTTATTCTGCAAATGTTCTCCCAGCCGAGGGCTGGTTTATTACAGTCACTTTAATTTCCCTCGCCTTCCCCTAAGTGTGAGAGTGGGTGATCCTGGTGCTGGGCCCCAGACTGGGTGTGCCTCATGTGGGGGCCAGGGGCACCCCAAAACCAGTCACCCCAAATCAATGGCCACCTCTGAAAAAATGTCTGCGGTCCATGGGTATTTCCTACCCAAGCAGGATGTGTCAGGCCCAACTTGCTGCAACTGTCATCTGGGGCTTTGGGTGATGTGTCTAAACTGCAGGGTTATCTCCATCCATGGACCCGTCACTGCGTCCCTCTCGTCCGTCACAGCCCCCCTCCCTCAGTAAACGGTCCTCTGGCAGGAGACGAGGCTTCCTCCACATGCATGCCAGGGAAGAGTCAGCTTCGAGTCCCATTGATCACTCAGTACAGATCACATGGAGGAGGAGCATGTGCGGGCCACAGGATCCAGGGTTGTATACTCCCTGTGAGATTCCTGATCTCCCAGCTGGGGGACTCAGTCCTGAAACAGACCAATCAAATAAAGGGTTGTCAGGTTGGGATCATGTTGCCAGTGAATCCCTGGGGCTCTAGGCTATGCTGGCTGGCTCAGATCTACAAAAGTATTTAGCAAAAAGAAAAGGAGGACTTGTGGCACCTTACGGACTAACCAATTTATTTGAGCATAAGCTTTCGTGAGCTGCAGCTCACTTCATCTGATGCATAAAAGTGGAAAATGCAGTGAGGATGTTTTTATACACACAGACCATGAAAAAATGGGTGTTTATCACTTCAAAAGGTTTTCTCCCCCCACCCCACTCTCTGCTGGTAACAGTTTATCTAAAGTGATCACTCTCCTTACAATGTGTATGATAATCAAGGTGGGCCATTTCCAGCACAAATCCAGGGTTTAACAAGAACGTGCGGGGGGGGGGGGGGGGGGGAAGGGGGTAGGAAAAAACAAGGGGAAATAGGTTACCTTGCATAATGACTTAGCCACTCCCAGTCTCTATTCAAGCCTAAGTTAACTGTATCCAATTTGCAAATGAATTCCAATTCAGCAGTTTCTCGCTGGACTCTGGTTTTGAAGGTTTTCTGTTGTAATATCGCAACTTTCATGTCTGTAATCGTGTGACCAGAGAGATTGAAGTGTTCTCCAACTGGGTTATGAATGTTATAATTCTTGACATCTGATTTGTGTCCATTTATTCTTTTACGTAGAGACTGATAAGTTTGACCAATGTACATGGCAGAGGGGCATTGCTGGCACATGATGGCATATATCACATTGGTGGATGTGCAGATGAACAAGCCTCTGATAGTGTGGCTGATGTGATTAGGCCCTGTGATGGTGTCCTCTGAATAGATATGTGGGCACAGTTGGCAACGGGCTTTGTTGCAAGGATAGGTTCCTGGGTTAGTGGTTCTGTTGTGTGGTGTGTGGTTGCTGGTGAGTATTTGCTTCAGGTTGGGGGGATGTCTGTAAGCAAGGACTCGCCTGTCTCCCAAGATCTGTGAGAGTGATGGGTCGTCCTTCAGGATAGGTTGTAGATCCTTGATGATGCATTGGAGAGGTTTTAGTTGGGGGCTGAAGGTGATGGCTAGTGGCGTTCTGTTATTTTCTTTGTTGGGCCTGTCCTGTAGTATGTAACTTCTGGGTACTCTTCTGGCTCTGTCAGTCTGTTTCTTCACTTCAGCAGGTGAGTATTGTAGTTGTAAGAACGCTTGATAGAGATCTTGTAGGTGTTTGTCTCTGTCTGAGGGGTTGGAGCAAATGCGGTTGTATCGTAGAGCTTGGCTGTAGACTATGGACCGTGTGGTGTGGTCTGGGTGAAAGCTGTAGGCATGTAGGTAGGAATAGCGGTCAGTAGGTTTCCGGTATAGGGTGGTGTTTATGTGACCATCGCTTATTAGCACCGTAGTGTCCAGGAAGTGGATCTCTTGTGTGGACTGGTCCAGGCTGAGGTTGATGGTGGGATGGAAATTATTGAAATCATGGTGGAATTCCTCAAGGGCTTCTTTTCCATGGGTCCAGATGATGAAGATGTCATCAATAGCGCAAGTAGAGTATGGGTGTTAGGGGACGAGAGCTGAGGAAGCGTTGTTCTAAGTCAGCCATAAAAATGTTGGCCCACCTGACAAAGGAGGTGCTGTTGTCATCATGGATAGGTTGGAATATGAACAAGAGGCTACTCGGCAGCTCTCCAACACTACTTTCTACAAGCCATTACCCTCTGATCCCACTGAGGGTTACCAAAAGAAACAATTTGCTCAAGAAACTCCCTGAAAAAGCACAAGATCAAATCCTCACAGACACACCCGTGGAACCCAGACCTGGGATATTCTATCTACTACCCAAGATCCATACACCTGGAAATCCTGGGCGCCCCATCATCTCAGGCGTTGGCACCCTGACAGCAGGATTGTCTCGCTATGTAGACTCCCTCCTCAGGCCCTACGCTACCAGCACTCCCAGCTATCTTCGAGACACCACTGACTTCCTAAGGAAACTACAATCCATCGGTGATCTTCCTGATAACACCATCCTGGCCACTATGGATGTAGAAGCCCTCTACACCAACATTCCACACAAAGATGGACTACAAGCCGTCAGGAACACTATCCCCGATAATGTCACAGCAAACCTGGTGGCTGAACTTTGTGACTTTGTCCTCACCCATAACTATTTCACATTTGGAGACAATGTATACCTTCAAATCAGCGGCACTGCTATGGGTACCTGCATGGCCCCACAGTATGCCAACATTTTTATGGCTGACATACGCAGAAGTCACCTACTACAGGATAGGCCCAACAAAGAAAATAACAGAACGCCACTAGCCGTCACCTTCAGCCCCCAACTAAAACCTCTCCAACGCATCCTCAAGGATCTACAAC